AAAAATAAAAAATAAAAACGACCTCCTACCCAGGCCTCATTCTCGTCTCCTGTTTCACCTGCTTACCATGCTTCCTGCCTGTCTCACCTACTACAGTGTAGCCCCGAGGGGAGGAACTGTGTCTGCTTCTTCACCGCCCCCTCCATGTTTACAAGAGCGCGCAAGGAAGAGCATCAGTGCCGGCTGAGAGAAGACACGGGGGAGGGAAAAGACGATTTGAGGCAGGTGAAACCAGGTAATCAAGTGCACAGGAGGTGAAATAAGCACGGGGTGGTACAAAAACATTATTATAGTTTAATAAGGAATGGGCAGCCAGGCCTAGTGAGCGTACACCTGTAATCCCAGAATGAGACTAGAAATCAAAGGGGAAAATATTTCTCTTTTCATTGTTTTTTACTTTATAATTTAGAACACCGTCTAATTCTCCCAAAGCGTCTGATGTTCCTAGCATTGGCTTTTAAAGGTAGAAGAGCTGAACTCTTAGTTTTAATTTACAGTTTAGACCCTCCCTCTACTCATTTCCCCAAAGACCTAAAGTACAAAGGGATGCCGGGCAGGGTGGCACACACATATAATCCCAGCCCCAGAGGCTGAGGCAGGAGGATTGCTGAGATTTCAAGGCCAGCCTGGGCTACAAAGTGAGACACTTTCTCAATCAATCAGTCAATCAGTTAATCAATCAATCAATCAATTAGGTACACAGGGTTCAGTAGGAAGGTAGAGAGGCTGAGGAAGGGACATTCCAAATTTTCAGCGACAACTCAAAAGTCAAATGTAAAATTTGTAGCTAAAAATTGAAAATGGTTTTTACAAATAAGTAACTTTGGGTAAATCGTACAAAACATTCCTTCTGCTTTGCAAGTATCTCCAAATTCTTACCTGTGCAGCAGAGATTTTGGCCACTTGGATGATTTTCTCCATAGAGAGGTAGCTCTGCTGAGAGGGGGCGGGGCCAATGGAATAGGCTTCATCTGCCTGTGTAAGAAATATTACATGCTTTAGCTCACAGAATTAGAGAAAACAATCCTAAAATCCATTTGGAACCAGAAGAGAACTCGAATAGCAAAGGCAATTCTGGACAGCAAAGGCAAGGCAGGGGGTGTCACAATTCCTGACTTGAAATTATACTATAAAGCTACTGTGATAAAAGCATCATGGTACTGGCAAAAAAACAAGCAAGCAAACAAACAAACAAAAAAACCCAGACCTGAGGATCAGTGGAACAGATTAGAAGATGCAGAAACAACACAGACATCCCCAGCCACCTTATCTTTGACAAAGGTGCCAACATATTCACTGGAAGAAGGCTAGACTCTTTAATAAATGTTGCTGGAAAAACTGGCTCTGCACATGCTGAAAATCAAAAGTGGACCCATATCTTTCACCATGCAGTAAATTTGAAATGGGTCAAAGATCTAAATATTAAAACAGAAACATTAAATCTGATGGGAGATAGAATAGGTAAAATTCTTCAAGACATTGGTGTAGGCAAAGAGTTTATGAACTGTCTATTATAAAGAAATCAACCAACAACAAATGCTGGAGGGGCTGTGGGGAAAAAGGAGCCCTTCTCCATTGCTGCTGGGAGTGTAGACTGGTGCAACCACTGTGGAAATCAGTGTGGACATCCCTCAGAAAACTAGGATTGGAGGTCCCATTTGACCTAGGTATTCCTCTTCTGGGTCTTTTCCCAGAAGAATTAAAAACATCATACCACAGTAACATATGTGCACCCATGTTTATAGCAGCACAATTTGTAATAGCAAAATCTTGGAAACAGCCCAAATGCCCATCATCCAAGGAATGGATAAAAAAGATGTGGGTTTTTTTATACCATGGAGTATTACTAAGCCATAAACAAGGATAAACTGGAGACTTTTATAGGTAAATGGACACAACTCAAGTCCATACTTACAAGTGAAATAAATTAGACTCCTATGTGCAAGCATCACATTGTCTCCCTAGTATAAGAAGCTGAAAGAGTACATAAGACACTATAAATGTATATTAACCAGGCATGGTGGTACACACCTGTAATCTCAGCACTTGGGAGGCTGAGGCAGGAGATTATTCTGAGTTCCATACCAGCCTGGGCTACAAAGTGAGCTCAAGGCCAGCCTGAACTGCATAGCGAGACCCTATCTCAAAAAAGACCAAAAATGCATATTAATTCTGGAAGTAATGTCATGTTAGCCTTCCAAAATTTTTTCTTCCTTTTCAAAATTGTTTTAATGATTTTAAGTCTTTTTGATCTTCATAGAAAATTCTTAGTTTCAAATGTTTCACCTTAAAACGTTTCTTGAAATTTTTAACTTCTCTGTAATGTTTTCTAGTTTTTTGTATATAAGTCTTATAAATTTTGTGGTGAGATTTATCACTATTTTATATTTTAAAACTCTTATAACCAATGTGTTTCATTTTTGTTTGTTACCATGAAGTGGAAGTATAATTGCTTTTCAATAAACATTTTTAAAAATAGAAATATTACATGCTTAAAAGATGATACAGCTGGTGCTTCAGGGTCACTTCATTATTCTAAATAAAAATGTCGGTCCCCAAGGACAAAGTAAGAATTGAGAAGCAGAAATATAAGTGCCTGTCTCTGTCCGGTTTTTTTTTTGTTGTTGTTTTGGTTTTTTTTGAGACAGGGTTTTGCTATGTAGTTCAGGCTGGCTTTAAACTCACTTTCTAGCCCAAGCTGGCCTTGAACTTGCAGTGATCCTTCTGCCTCAGCCTCCCAAATTCTGGAATTAGAAGTGTGTGCCACTACACCCAGCTCCATATGTTTACATCTAAAAACAAACCAGTTTGGAATCTTCTCCATGAAGAAGATGCCAAAATTTGATTTCATATATGAGCCACACACTGGAGTGAAATTAAAATATTTTAGGCTAGAAAGCAACAGGTATTCACCATGGTATTTTTAGCAACAATAACAAATTAGGTGTATTTAATGAGAAAAATCTTGAAAACAACTACATCTTGAAAACAGAAACAAAATATACAACTGATACATGTAGCAAGAAAAACTTATAAAGTTTACTAAAGTATTATATAATTATTAGAGTTACGTTTCTTTTACACATTTGTGAATTATTTTATGTCGTCCCTTAAAACTTTCATATAAGTCATACCATCTCTAGAAGCAGAGAGAGAGAAAACATTCATTCCAAGACTTACTGAACACGTACTATGTGCCGCGTCTTGGGGGTAGGAGCTGCCCGTATAGCAGCAAACCTGACATGGGCCTGCCGAGAGGCAGGGACACGCAGCATTCACACACCTGCCCACAGCGGTCCTAAAATCCCAGAGGGAAAGCCAAGCACAGGATGGATTTAGAGGAAGGCCAGATCTGGTCGAAAAGTGGCCAGGACAAGCCCGGAAAGTCCGCGAAGGTCCCTCAGAGCCGACACGTGGAGGGAGAACGTGGAGGGAGAACGTGGAGCTGAGAACAGCGCTGGGCTGAGCCCCCCGGCAGAGGAAACATCACATAGCAAGCTCCCGAGCTGGGAGAAAACCTGACCTGTCTGAGGAACCGATGGAGACTGTGGAGCTGGAACGCGGTGAGCAAGGGACCAAGGTACCAGAGATGAGGCTGTGCCTCAGTCACTTTCCTTGCGGGGGAGGCACAATAGGTTTCGTTTGTTTGTTCATTTTTGAGATAGGATCTTGCCACGTAGTTCAGGGTGGTCTTGAACTCACTATGTGGCCCAGGCTGGCCTCTAACTTGCGTGATCCTCCTGCCTCAGCCTCCCCAGCACTGGGATTGCAGGCGTGTGCCACTGTACCCGGCTGAGGAGGCACAAATGTTATACCTACAATTTTTTTTTTTTTTTTTTTGGTTTTTCTCCGGTACCGGGAACCGAACCCACGACGTTGTGCTTGCCAGGCAGGCGCTTTGCCGCTGAGCTAAATCCCCAGCCCTACACCTACAATTTAAAGGAGAGGTTTATCTTGGCTCAGGGTTTCAGAAGTTCCAGTCTGTGGTTGACAGGCTCAAACATAGAGACTTCCTGGTAGGAGGGCCTGGGCCGAGGACAGCCGCTCGCAGCCTGGGAGGCAGGAAGCAGAGCGAGCAAGGGGCAGCTGCGGAGGGAGATCTACCCTGCTAGGTCCCCCTGTAACCCACCTCTAAACAGGCCTCCTACCAGTAAATCAGCCCGAGTGTGTCTGCGGGCTAGTCCACTGCCCTCCCGAATCCTCACCTTCCAAAAGCCCCGGCCCTGAACACAAGAGGCTTGGAGGAACATTCTAGATCTAATCCCTAATCGGCTACATGACAGTAGGGCAGAATTCACAGGGAGGCCCTTGGTGGGGAAGGGGTGTGCTACAAAGCTTTAGATTTTCTCCTAAGGGAATATATAAGGTGAATGGGGGAAAAAAATCTTTTTACTTTTATTTTCAGAAAACATGAATTCATTCACTTTTTAAAGAATGTGCCAGGCATGGTGACACATGCCAGTGATTCCAGCACTAGGAAGGCTGAGGCAGGAGGACTGCTGTGAGTTTGAGGCCAGCCTGGATTACATAATGAGACCCTGTCTAAAAAACAACAGGAATGTGAGCAGTCATATAAAGGCAAAGCAGCCCTCTGACACCCCCCTAACTACAATTCTCTTCTGTACATAACTTTCACTATGCCCAGTGTGGGACATATTTTTCCATATCTATATTCCTATTTATTCATATATATTTATGGAAACACATTTTTTATTTTCTTTTCTTTTCACACACATAGAATCACTATGTAATCATCTTCTGTACTGCTTTTCTCGCTGGAAGTATGCTTTGGGAGCTGCTTCCTTGCTAGTACACACATGCTAACCTCACTGTATGTAATGTTTTATGATGTTCCTGTGTGGAGGTTGCATGGCTCGTTTAATCACTAACCTCTTCACATGTGCTGAGGTTGTAATGGCAAAAAAGCTGGGTGTGGGCAAGGCTGAGGTAGACATTCTTGTACATACCTGTATTTGCACACATATGTGAGCCCAGCTCTGGGACACATACCTGCAGGACAATTTGCAGTCTTGGGCTAAAGGATATACACATTTTAATGCTCCTAAAATAGTTTTACCAATATACATGTCCATCAGCACACCCATTTCTTTTTTTGTTTGCTTTGTTTGTTTGTTCATTTGTTTTGTTTGGTATCTGGGGCAGGGTCTTGCTGGCCTTGAACTCAGTTATGTAGCTGAGGCTGCCTGCAAACGCATGGTGATCCTCCTGCCTCAGCTTCACAAGTGCTGGGATTACAGATGTGCACCAGCACACCTGGTTCAGCATACCAATTTCTAACCAACACTGAGTATTAACCTTCATCGACACTAAGTATGAACTGCCTTTTAAATTATTCCTAAGCTGGTAGGTCACATAAAGGTATTCAAAGCAGTAGAGAAGAAATATGACCACATTTTTAGTTTAAACTCAGTCTAGCTGAGATGCAGAAAATGGATCACTGGAGGGAGCTCAAGAGTAGAAGGAGGGAGATTACTTAGGAGCTAGTTCAGCATTGGCCCAGGCAAGAAATGACAGTGGTCTGACTTAAGGGGCAGGTGAGAGAGGGCAGGAAGAAATGGGAAGAAACATTCGGGAAGCAGAATTACCAGGATGTTGTGCCTTTCCAGATGGCCATTTTTGGATTGGGTCTTTAAATGGGGGGGGGTTGATTTTTTAGTTCTTTATATATTCTAGATACTAGTCCTTTGCCAAGGAGCAGCTGACAAAAATTTTCTCCAACACTGTGGGCTGTCTCTTCACTCTGTTGGTGGTTCCTCTTGCTGTGCAAACATTTTTTAATAAAATGAGATCCCAGGTGTTGATTCTTTGTGATATCGCCCATGTGATAAGGGTTTTGTTCACATTTGCCTATCCCAATGTCTTCAAGATATCTACCTAATCTATCTTCCACCAGACTTAGTGTTTTTGTTTTAATATTTAGAGCTTTGATCCATTTCAATTTTAGTTTAGTGCATGGTGAAAGATATGGGCCCA